ACCGTATCACGGAGGGGGAACACCGTATCACGGAGGGGGAACACCGTGACACGGAGGGGGAAAGAACACCGTGACACGGAGGGGGAACACCGTATCACGGAGGGGGAACACTGTATCACGGAGGGGGAACACCGTGACACGGAGGGGGAACACCGTATCACGGAGGGGGAACACCGTGACACAGAGGGGGAAAGAACACCGTGACACGGAGGAGGAACACCTTAACACGGAGAGGGAACACCGTAACACAGAGGGGGAACACTTAGTCGTATTTCTTGGTTGTCAGTCCCACGGACCCTGGTTAGTTGTTCGTTCTTTCCCTTTTTGTGTTGTTGTTGATTGGCTATACTTTTACTGCTATAAATATACAAAATCAAACCATTTCACAATCGTGACTGTATGTACGACTTATTCTGGGAGTAATACAACTCCATAGACATGTGTTGCCAACCATACACTCACAGAACATTTGATACCTTACTGATTATTAAAGTCATCTTAACATAATCACTCTTACAACATTCTACTGATCTGGAGGAGGGGGTATCTGCTGTTACTGAGCTGTTGGAGGTGAGCATACACCTGCATAAAGGAGAAGTCTCATGGGGGGCTAAGCACCAGATCTCAACACACATGCAGTGCTTTACTTAAACCCAAAGTGACCACAGACGCTCTGGGATTTGAACCTGTTCTGATTTAGATTTTCTGTGTTCATTTGAGACCGGAGGCTCCCTCATCATTCATTGTGCACATGCAACATGACATATTGTCCGTCATTGGATATACACATGTAAATATATAAAAAGTACATATACTGTATGAACATAAAGCAGATTTTTACTTTTTCAACAAGGTGCCACTTCATGCTGCTGATTCTTTTGGACAGAAATAAGTATTTTGCAGAAGTTGTGATTATTCATGTTGGGAAGACGACACATTCAATATGTGAATGTTTTGGATTTCCAGTCTGCTTTGTCAGTTCTGTCTCCTATTGTTTCTCTCTTTAGTTTACATTACTTAGAAGATATACACAAGACATGACACAGATTAGAGGTTCTGCATTTGAATCTGTCATAGGTGGTGAAGAACTGGAGAATAGCACATGTACCAAGCAATAAGTGGGACTATGGAGCTCCATGACATAAATTAAATCTAAAATAGATGTATAAAATGTAAAAAAAATGAACAATAAAACAAGATAGCATAATTTATGTACACACTGAAAAGAAGAAGAGTGAATATTATAACTAACTATAAGCGGTATTAATATTATTAGGGTCAATATGCAAAGAGTTCATAGCCCATCTGTTTTATATCATGTGAAATAAATGTTGATGTTCTTAAAATGTGTTTTTTTTGTTTACATTTTGTCTGCAAGTCAAATCATATTTTGCCCTTGAGGTCTAATTCTCTGATCTTTCTTTTTGTACAACGACATGCTTGAACTACATGACGTGTCCTTCCCAACCTTTCTGACTTGTGACTCCTTAAAATGAATACAAGTCTACTTGTTCTCACATCACAGTCTAAGTTTCATTGAAAGAAGTGAAGGTATCCAGTACTTTACTTTACAAGAGAAGAAAGAGAAGTAGAAAAGTAAGAAAATAACATCATATAAAATACAAAATATATACTTATTCATTTAGCAACAATATCCAACATTTAATGTATTTGTTGTGAAAAGTAAGTGAACCTCTAGGATTATCAATTCATTTAAAGGGGTAATTGGAGTCGGGTGTTACAATGTGAGCTTATTAGTCCCCAGTAAATTAATAAAACCTGGGGCTTTACTATCAATGTCTAGTCAACACCATACAGCTGTGTGGAAGTGTGCCATGCATTAACATGCTACAAAACCATATCTAAAGAGTTTGGCCTCCACCTCTACACTGCCGGGCATAAATGGAGAAAATTCCTCTCTCATCGGGAGTGGTCAGGAGGTAACATCTGAGGAACATCTGGCCTTTCTTGCATGGGCTAATGTCAATCTTCATGAGTCCACCATCAGACAAACACTCAAGAGGAAGTGCTGTGTATGGCAGGATATCAAGGAGAACGACACTGCTCTCCACCAAGAACATTGCTGCCCATCTACAGTTTGCTTAGGGCCACGTGGATGAAAAATAATGTTCTGAGTGTAAAATAGATCTTTTTGGTTTAAATGACAAGCATCATGTTTGGAAAAAACCAAACACTGTATTCCATCATGAGAACTTCAGGCCAACTGTGAAGCCCGGTGGTGAGAGTGTCATTGTTTGGGGCGACCTTGGGACGAAGGCAGCTTCCAATCATTGACGGAGCTATAAATTCTGTCGTGTTCCGGCAAATTCTACTGGTCTACTGGTAACTCGGTAAAATGTAGCTCAAGCACAAGTTCAGTCAGGAAGACACTCACTGATAATCTCAGTCTCTCCTCTCCTTGTAATTACTCCATCAGCTGATTGGGGGTGTGCACTTTTAAGTAACCAACCACATTCTGCACAGTTTCCTGAAGCCAATCAGATCGTTGCTGTCAAACTTTAAAGTGTTCTCCTCTCTGCTGCTGTCAGTTGTCATTTCTGCATTAAGCAGATGCGACCCTCCTCCACCCCAGTCGCCTCTAGTCAGCATCACAGTCAGGCTCCTGATTCATCAGATTGCAGCAACTCCTTTCACCACCACCACCAGTGTCTGGACTCCAGGGGGGATTAGGCCTATTGGACCTCAGTATCCCTACCCTCGCTGATATTACTTCAGGATGGAGTCCAATCGCCAAAGACTTTGCACTTTTCATATTTGATGCATGTATAATAAATCATTGTTAAATTATAAAACAGGTCTCTCCTGATTGAACTGTTGTTATTTGCCTAACTTAGCAGGGGGATTTTGAGTTCTTTTTCACTCTCTGACACCATGTATAGTGCAGTGGCGGGCCGTGCATTTTATACCTGGGCCTTCACTGCTGTCCTGCAGCTGAAACACCACTTTATTTATTGGTTTATTTGAACGGGACAGTGCACATTAATAAAAACATTTCTGCAAATGCGCCAGAGTTAGCCAAAAGGCTATTTTTCATCTGTAGATGACCTTATACCCTCATGATGGCGCCACAACTATTATCCGTTTCTAGGACTGGAACTATTTACGTGTTCATATTAAACCGTTCGGTACGAAGCTTAGAAACCGAACAATACGTTTGTATAATACTAGAGCATTTGGAAAATGCAGGAGCTTAAATTATGTGAATATTGTTTCCTGCGCTCATGTAGGACAGTGGTTGTCAACTGGTCTGGCTACAGGATCCACCATCACCTCTTAATCACAAGCCACAACCCATTCTTCTCTTTTGGAGTCCGTCTTATGATTTTACTTTCACAACCAACATAAGAATTGTACTGCTCTGCTATCTCTTTCCTCGTCTCAGTCCCCTGTGTCATGGTGTGTGTACATCTCACTGGAGTCAGGAAACTTGTCAGAATCCCCATATTTGATTGGCTGAGCTGCATCACGTGATCGTTTCACGATAGTCACGTGCTCGCCCACTGACCAATCACAGCACACGCTGCACCTCACTGCAGAGCTGCACGTAATGCTGACGTAGCTGTAGACCAGCTAGCAGGCTCTGACATGTCAAAGAATACGCCCAACATGTCAAACTAAAGATCTGATTGGTTGAACACTATGACAATCAACAATATCGTCCCCATTCACTTAAACTGCACATGGATGCACTTGTGAGTCTGCAGGCCTCTGCCTCTGTTCTTACCTAGAGACACAGAGGTGA